TTTTGCCAGCCTGCCCAGCCCAATACTGATGTCTTTGAGTTTGGCCAGAATAAGAACATAATTTTAAGTGTATTAATAAACTGTATGTGTAACTGAGATATAACCCACACATACACGTTACTTGGTTTGATTCACTGTTGTGTGTTCTGCCATTCCACATAATTTCCTCTAATCACATAATCCAATTTGTTCCTGGCAGAGTTGTGTCCAAAATGTTGGCTACACGGAGGATGTTATTAACAAAAAGCAACACAACACCAGCACTGGCATTATTCTCTGTCTCTATATTCACTCGTGACTAACATTACATTTAAAGCATTGACACACTAAGCCATATTAAGCCTGGACTGGCAGAGCATTAGGTAAAGAAGGCTCCAGCGTGTATTGAAATCATTCATGGTGTTAAAAATATACCTATAGCACTACTGCCCTGGAAATTTACTGACACATTTTCCCTACACATTTGCGTCTAGTTTATACAGTTACTGTAGTACTGAAATGTTTCAAGCAACAGAAGTGTCACAACATGCTCATCACCACTCATCCATATTTTGCTAAAAAGACTTCCTTTTCTGGTTCCAAACAATCCTCTTGGCAGAGACGTTTCCTCAGTGTAACCAGAAATGACCTCGCTCTAAGTCCAACTTTGATCTTTCACATCCACAAACAATGACCCGAAACGAGAGCCTCTTATTAACACAGCGTTGAAACATCTGTCACTAGAAACAGCTTAAAACATTTTCACTTGCATAAACACTTCTGCCTCCTACTCGATCACATTTTCCACCTCACGCTCTCACTCAGCCTTTTCTCTCTCTCTCTCTCACACAGAGTAGAAAACTACTGCCTCTGGCTATAAACCGTAGAGGCTATCGTACAGCTGACACCATGCTGAGGGCATTGCACAACTCCATTCTCATCAAGAAAACAACAACAGCCTTTTTGCAGCTCCTCAGCACTGATCTATCAGAATACAGAGTGCACTGAGTGCAACATCAGAGCGCAGAATAGAGTCACCACAGTGACAGCGACAGCTTTAATGAGGTCGCTGTCATTGTAAGAAGAAGCTATAACAACAGTACTGTGGTATTGGGACTACTGCAGTAAAGTAAAGCAGAGGACTATCTGATTTACACCCTTTTTCACATCTGTATTTTCATGTGTGGCAGAAGAATTTACATCTGAGGACAAATCACTATGTGAATCATTATACATTTTACAATGTTATCTGTTTTTACACGTCTTGATAACCTTCACTGACCATCAATATAATGCAAGGAAGGCAACCCTGTAGTTGATTTATTTGTGCACACTCAATCAAACAGTACACTGATATCCAACAGCAGACAGAGCATATACTTTATTACATCCTTCATGCAGCTCATTTTAATTCACTGACATCACTTAATTTCGTAATTAAACCACATGCTCCTCTTT